GGTCTAGGGCTGAAGGATTGACTGCCGAACTGTCTCGACACTAGTTTAATTATTAAGGTATCTGCGGCCTTTCATTGAATGATTTTCCTCGTTTTGTGGCACATTGTGCACGTTTTTATTAGGGGTCTGGGCCGGCTTACGCCACACCGTACGCAGACCGAGGAGCTATTGCGAGCGAGTCGGCAGCCAGATGCACTCGATTTTCAATGCAGAAGCAGCAATCCACCCTGTCAGAGTCGTTGATCGACTTCACATGCGAGACGGTCAAGTCAAGATGTTGGGTGCCACGCGAGACAGAGCATTAGTCGAGGCAGTAAGCCATGTCCTTCGTGACGACCTTGGCAAGACAACCCTGTTGAAGCAACGCGCTCGGCAGAGGCGTGAGGGACTGGGCCTCCAACAGGGGACTTCCTTTGCTCTGGAGAGTCGAAAGCGCAGGAGTCAAGCTAGCATTCAAGCCACCGGCCGTTCTGCGGATGACCCCGACCTTGTTTTTCGTGTCTGCCGAGAAGCACTCCCGCACGACATGCAATTGCGAAGGCGACAGCACAAACCAGTCGAGTGGAATGAGGCCACTGTTCGGGCATTGACAAGGGCGATGGCGGGTGGTGATCGGCTTGGCCCGCTGCCTTTTCTGAGCACAGACCGCATCAGGGCTAAATTGCATAAATGCTTCGGGTGTGTCTGTGTTTGGAAGGGTCATGTACTGTGTGCATGAGTGGAATATTGAAGGCAACTCTCTGGCTTGTAGGTCCATTGTAGGTTAGATGTCAGACTCTACACAGGCAAGCCGCAAACGAAGTCGACAGCGGCAGCGAGATTGAAGGACTGGCTTCAGTCGAAAGATGGTCGCGCGTGGAGGCAGCAACGAGAGCAGCTGTGGTCGACGACTGAGGAGGGGTGAGCAGGGGTTTCAAAGCATGAGTCCAAAGGGCTTTTCTTTGTCATCGACTGAAGTCGAATCTTCGTGCGCACATGAGATGAGGGTGCTCCGATTATGGTTTTCTGAGAAATGTTACACAGGTTTGTGCTCAAAGCCAATTCCAGCAGTTGGATGGAGATGCTGGACATTTGAGTCGAAGATTCGGGTGGCTCGTCGAAGATTCGTGTGACTGCAAATTCAGTCCACGCCGGGGCAACGGGGACAAGTCGCGAAACGGACATAAAATTGCGCATCAAACTTGAACTACTCACCAGTGCTTGCGTCTGTCAAGCCTTTTTACATGATCATTCCGTCACGAAGAGTTCGTTGCCTGAGCCGCCCTGGCACAGGTACAGATGTGCCGTCCTCGCCGCCTGGAGCTTGGAGTGAAGTTATGTAAGCTTCCACACTCTGTCAGGTTGAGATTGGTCGTGTTGTCGTGCATTGCTGTGGGATATCTGTAGCGGCCGCATTTCTGCCTTGACGGTGTAGTCGCAGACTGATCCAGGACACACGGACCCCTGGAAACAACAACCGGCCTGGCTCATTGAGTCGCAGCGCCGCCTGGAGCTTGGAGTGAAGTCGTTATGTAAGCTTCCATACTCTGTCAGGTTGAGATTGGTCGTGTTGTCGTGCAATGCTGTGGGATATCTGTAGCGGCCGCATTTCTACCTTGACGGTGTAGTCTCGCAGACTGATCCAGGACACACGGACCCCTGGAAACAACAACCGGACTGGCTCATTGAGTCGCAGCGCCGCCTGGAGCTTGGAGTGAAGTCGTTATGTAAGCTTCCATACTCTGTCAGGTTGAGATTGGTCGTGTTGTCGTGCAATGCTGTGGGATATCTGTAGCGGCCGCATTTCTACCTTGACGGTGTAGTCTCGCAGACTGATCCAGGACACACGGACCCCTGGAAACAACAACCGGACTGGCTCATTGAGTCGCAGCGCCGCCTGGAGCTTGGAGTGAAGTCGTTATGTAAGCTTCCATACTCTGTCAGGTTGAGATTGGTCGTGTTGTCGTGCAATGCTGTGGGATATCTGTAGCGGCCGCATTTCTGCCTTGACGGTGTAGTCGCGCAGACTGATCCAGGACACACGGACCCTTGGACTGGAAGCAACTATATCGCACTTGAGTCGCAGCCGTCAGTCGAGTCAAGCGATTTTAGGGTTCTGGAGGTCCCGGCCATGGCATCGTCTCCAGTCGAACGACAGGAGCTGGATGGAGTCGCACTTCGTGAGCTGGAGAAGCTCGTGGTGGCATCGGCTCGAGTCGAACGAACGGAGCTGGAAATGCTCATGAAGAAGCGATATCCCAAGGTGCCGAGGCAGTTGGTGTGCCAGCTGTGCACGATATGGTTCGCGGAGTACAACAACAGCTTGATCAACGAAGTCGCTGACGAGCCGATCGGGGAGTTCTTGGAGCGCTACTTGTACAGGACTCAAGCCGCCTTGAAATCATACCCAGAGCAGTCGCAGGCATACCGATCCAAAGACCTGGAGCAGCAGTTCCTGGTCAAGGTTCTCGAGGGGGTCTTCAAGATTGAGCTCGAGGCGGATGAGCCCTAGTCGATGTCGCCAGAAGAGCACCGGTCGATGTCAGGACGGCTTTCGATTGGACGGCTTTCGATTCGAGGCGGGGGAGCCTCAGTCGACAAGTCGACGTCGCATGAGGAGCTTAGTCAATGTCAAGACAGAGCTTAGTCGATGTCAAGACAGAGCTTAGTCGATGTCAAGACAGAGCTTAGTCGATGTCAAGACAGAGCTTAGTCGATGTCAAGACAGAGACGGCTATGCAAATTAGGTTGTAGCTTGGTCTGTTGCAGTCGCCACCGACCTCATGGAAAAAATTGCTTTCCCTATGCACTCGCTCGCAGATAGATTAGCTGTTAGCTAGTTCGTTGCCGGAATCCCCCCTGGCCCAGGTACAGATGTGCCGTCCGCGCCGCCTGGAGCTTGGAGTGAAGTCGTTATGTAAGCTTCCATACTCTGTCAGGTTGAGATTGGTCGTGTTGTCGTGCATTGCTGTGGGATATCTGTAGCGGCCGCATTTCTGCCTTGACTGTAGTAGTCGCAGACTGATCCAGACACGTGCTGTCGGAACCGCTTCGAGCTTGGAGGTGCCGTCGTAGACTTATCCAGACACGTCCTGTGTTGGAGCTTAGACTTCTTCAGCCCCACAGGTCGCAGTTCTGGCGGGCTCAGAGTTTTCAGTTGAGTGTAGTCGCTGGTGGCCTTCGCTGCTGACATGGATAGCGCTGCGGAGCTTGGTTTGCCGCAATCTGGGCTGATACTCGCATCTTGTCTCGAGTTGGTTCGTCTTTCGCGAACTGCGCGTGTGAAAAGAAGACTGCCGCTAAGGATTATTCCTGGATGGCGAAGATCTTCGAGGGCAAGAAAACGATGGAGATCCGAAGTCGATGTACCAGCAAAATTGGACAGAGAATCGGCTTGTGTAAGAAGGGCTTCTGCCACGGCACTGCAACGATCGACCGCGTGTGGCCTGCTTGCAAACACAGAAATGCTTGTTTCAGATTTGCATCGTGGAAGAGCTGTTTAAGAACAGACATGGTGCTGTTGCAGCAATCTATAGCCAAGGATGGACATCACAAACTCGGCCGAAGAGTACGAGTCGTTGCACCTGGCTCCAAGCACCTATTACCGGAAGTGGAAGAAGGTCTGGGGCTGGGTTTTGAAAGATGTCCGGCGATTCCCGATGCCAATGAATTACTTCAGTCGGGGCAGAGTTTGGGTGAGCCTGCAGTCAAAGAAGTCCAAGTCGGCAAGGAAGGCGAAGAAGGCCAAGAAGGCGAACAAGGCCAATTCAAAGAAACGCAAATCGGACGAGTTCACTATCGATTCTGAGGAGTCGTGTGACAACTTGAGCCTCGAGCGACATGATGCAGAATCGGATCTGTTTCGTGAATTTTCTCGGACTCCAGAGTGAGCGATTCGGCAGGCTGGCTCGGAGTCGGAATTGGTTTAATGCAGGCCTTAGGTTTATGTGCAGTTTTCATGATCATCGGTCCGTCACAGAGCCTGAGTCGTTCTCGGAGCTGGAGTTTCGCTAAGTGTTTTGTTGTGTGGCGGCCATACAAACAGGCCGTGCCATAGGCAGTCGTGCGAGTGCGAGGGCAGACCAAATAGCTTTGGACCTGCGTCTTGATTTGGTGTCTGCAGTCGGTCTGCAGTGTTTTGTGCAGCTGACAGTGAAGCTGGCGCAAGGTTGTCATCTTCGACCCAGTGCACTCCGGCGGGGCGCCACACAAACAGGCACCTGGTGTCTGCAAGCAGTCGGTCTGCAGTGTTGAACCGTTCTGCGGGTGACAGTGAAGCTGGCGCAAGGTTGTCATCTCCGACCCAGCGCACTCCGGTGGGGGCTTCGCCTGAACAAGGTGATAAACAGCCAGGGTCAGCGCCTGAAAAAGGTGATAATCTAAGAGGCAGCACGGCTTAGTAAGCGCCTGAAGAAGGTGATAGACAGCATGACTACAAGAGATAAGACGGGGAGAGGACCAATATCCTATAAGGCAATCCCAACGAGGAGCTACTATGGACGGAGAGACAAACAGCACGACTGCAAGCAAGAGAGCGACATGGACAGACAGCGACAGAGCTACGGAGATGGAGAGAGAGAGAGAGAGAGAGAGAGAGAGAGAGAGAGAGAGAGAGAGAGAGAGAGAGAAAGAGAGGGAACTAGAGGGAACGAGAGAGAGAGAGAGAGAGAGAGAGAGAGAGAGAGAGAGAGAGAGAGAGAGAGAGAGAGAGAGAGAGAGAGAGAGAGAGAGAGAGAGCGAGAGAGACTTTCGTTGACTTGTCCATTGGCATGGCATGTTTGTTCTTGGCATGAGCTTGACCTTGCTTGCTTTGTCGTTGTCCTTACTCACGCAGAACATGCGAGACACCGTTGGCCGGGTGTCGGGACTGAAGTGCCATACGTTCCTGCTTCTGGCCAACCCACTTCGGTGGATGACAGCAGAGCACATGGGCTAATGCGTCTGCCGGGCAGGATCCTGTGCTCACCCGTTTCGACAATCCTCTCCCCCTGACCGTGCGGCCGGCGGTCACACAGGGGTGCATGTTGCCGAGCGGGGACAGCGCCAGTGCTCTGTCGCCCACTTGGGGTGGAAGGGCGAGGGCTGCACAGTGCCTTCAGACTGCAGGGGAGGCCGCAAGAGAGACAAAGAGAAGGAAAGAGAGAAAGAGAGAGAGAGAGAGAGAGCCACAGTGAGAGAGAGAGAGCGTGACACCGTTGGCGAGGTGTCGGGAGGGGAGGCTAGGAGAGAGACAGCAGGAGACAGAAGGACAGAACCAGGGAGAATTCCACAGAAACCTACTTGAAAAAAATTAACTACCTCAGGCCGCAAGAGAGACAAAGAGAGAGAAAGAGAGGGAAAGAGAGAGAGAGAGAGAGAGAGAGAGAGAGAGAGAGAGAGAGAAAGAGAGAGAGAGAGAGAGACACACAGAGTGAGAGAGAGAGCGTGACACGAGGGGAGGCCAGGAGAGGGACAGAAGGTCTGAGATACAGAGAGACAGAACCAGGGAGGATAATTCCACAGAAACCTGCTTGAAAAAATTAACTACCTAAAGCGATCTTTAGAAAGGCAACACAGGGAGCCCTGTTTTTGGGAACCCTAAATGATAGGTGTCGTAATATTTTACGGACCCAAAAAGGGACCGTAATTTTGACAACCACCCATTTAATTAAGTCTACCAAAACCCTCCGCCCAAACTTTCTACCCGAAGCCTTAATCCCTACTTGGAGGGTCGGGGGACTTAGTAACTGGTTATTTTACGGAATTATAAGTACCACAACCCCAATTAGGGTCCCTTTTAGGGTACCTATAAGTCTACTTACTACCTACTTACTAAGTCCCCCGACCCTCCAAGTAAGCCCGCATAAAGCCTCACGTCTCCAAGGGCCGGGCCCGATGAGCTTTAACCCTAAACCCTAAACCCTAAACCCTAAACCCTAAACCCTCAAGAAAGTGATAAATAGAAATTGCTTGTCCTTCTTTATAACCACCGCTAAGGCCCAGCATTTCGGTTAAAACTGGCGTTAGCTTCTTGATAATCCAATTTCGCACAACCACAACCTCAACCATTAACTCAACCCAGCCAACTCAAAACAGCCACCCGATCAAAAACGGAACAAGCTTCTTGATAAACCAATTTCGCACAACCACGACCTCAACTTCTAACTCAGCCCAGCCAGCCAAGCCAAACCGGTCCAGCCCAGCCGGCCCAACACACCGATTAAAAATTGAGTAAGCTTCTTGATAAACCAATTTCTCCACAAACTTGTAACCACCATTACGGCCCAACACGCCGCTTAAAATTGAACAAGCTTCTTGATAAACCAATTTCGCCATAACCTCCAACCCAGGCCCACCTTCCCAGCCCCAAAAAAGGCCCAAAACCAACCCCAAATCCAGATCCCAAACCCCAAATCCAAATCCCAGACCCAAATCCAGGCCCAGCCCAAATCCAGGCACACCTTCCCAGACCCAGATCCAGGTCCCAAGGCCAGTCCAAAAATCCAGGTCCCAGGCCCCAAATGCTCCAGACCCAGGCCCCAAATGCAGGCTCCAGACCCCAAATCCAGGCCCAGTCCCAACCCCCAAGAAATTTGAAAATATGGTTCGCAAAAAAAACGTTCGGTCAAACTTTCGGAACTTTCGGTCAAACGTTTTTGGGACCCAAACCCCCCGGCCCCCCGACCCAGCCCCCAACCCAGCCCTCTCATCCCAGCTGAACATGCAGAAAGCTTCCCCAGCGACCAGCCCAAGCTGGCCAGAGCCCAACACCAAATCAAGGATCCAAAATCAAAACTCTTGTCAAAACTTTCGGTCAAAACGTTTCGGTCAAAACTTTCGGTCAAAACTTTCGGTCAAAACGTTATTGGCACCCAAACCCTTAACAATTTCTATAAACCCTAAACCCTAAACCCAAGCCGTAAGATCCCGAATACCCCAGGACCCTAAACCCGAAACCCGTGGCTCTCTGTACCAAGTGCAATGTAGAAAGAGGCCCTCAAAGAAGGAAGCCTAAGCCCTAACAGGCCTTGACTGTTATGAGTAGAACAGGGTTGGGTGGGGGGGTATGTTAGACTATAGCTATAATAAAGAACCTTCAAGACCCTATTCTAACTATTATAAGGCCCCTCCGCGTACCCAAGGAATTACATCATCCAGCTCAGTGGCATCGGAGGCTGATCCGACCTGGGATCGGAGTTTTGGGGTCTCTGCCAAAGGGGACGTTTAGGCTTAAGGGTTTAGTGAATGCAGTGGTACCCTACCTAGTAGCAGAGTAGGTAGGCTTTTTTTTTGGAAGGAGGGTAGGGGGGGGGGGTATCATATTCCCTAGTTAAGCCAAAAGGTTAACCTTGAGTTTCCCTAGAATGTTGGACAAAAACGTTACGGCTGGGATACAGTCGCTTATTTGATGCCTGTAACATGTATGTACATTATCATTATTATTATTATCATTATTATTATTATTATTCTTATTATTATTATTATAGTATATTATATTATATTATATTATATTATATCATATTATATTATATCATATTATATTATATTATATTATATTATATTATATTATATTATATTATATTATTTTATATTATATTATATATGTATATATAACTAGACGTGCGTCCGTCCATCCATCCATCCATCCATCCATCCATCCATCTATCCATCCACCCACCCATCCAGCCATCCATCCTTTTCCACTCATGCATGCATTCATGCTAACATGCATGCTTACATACATGCATACATACATACGTGCATATGTACATATGCACATGCGCACATACACACATACATGCATGCATGCATGCATTCACAGGTACGTAGATAGATACACACACACATAGATACATACATGCATTCATACATGCACCGATACACACATGCCTGCATGCATGCGTACACCTACCTCCCTCCCTGCGAACGTACCCGCCTACATACACACACTAGCACGGTAGGGCTTCAGGCTTTAGGGTCGGGCTCGAAACCCAAGCCCAAAGCGTTGGAGGACTTTCGCCCAACACCGTCCTCTTGGATTGGCCGATGAAGTGGAAGAGCCAGCCCAGAAAGGCCGGTGATAAGTAGGGTGCCTTTATAGGTAGTACTATTTGAGAGACCCCTTAAAGGGTACCCCTTCTGAACCCTACTTCTGGCTCTCTTAAAAGGGACCTTATTGAGAGGGTCTTTATCCCCAAGGGTCCCCTTAATCCTAACTCCCACTTTAATGGATCTGCTGGGGTTCCTGAAAGGGTTCCTATAAGGGAGAAGTTCAGGGTGGTTTAAGGTTTCGGGTTTGGGATTGGAGCCTTCAGGGCTTAGGGGTTCGGCTCTTGGGGCTTTGTGTTTGGGGTGTATGGCTTTGGGGTTGAAGTATTAAGGTTTTAGGGTTTAGGGCTTTAGGGCTTTAGGGTTTAGGGTGTAGGGCTTTGGGGTTTAAGTGTTAAGGTTTTAGGGTTTCGGGTTTAGGGCTCTAGGGTTTCGGGTTTAGGGCTTTAGGGAGGTTAAAGTGCATATCCAGTGGGAAGGGCGTGTGTCATTTCATCCCCTTGGTGTGTGGCCACGATGAGGCTGTTATGACACGTGGATTGGCCGAAGACTGCCGAATGTCGGACTACCCTCCCCCTACACCCAAACCCTATACCGAAATCAGGATATGAACCGAGCCACCGAGTTAACATCAGTCCCGTGAATCCTGAACCGATAACCCGAAACCCTACACCCTAAGCCCTCAACCCTAAACCCTAAACTAAATCGTCTTAAAAGGGCATTGGGCTCTGCGACCGTCCTGCAACCCTCATAAAAGCCTTCGTAATAAAGCCCTACAGCCCCTCGAAAGGAACCCCTATATACCCTTGCAAGACGCTTAATGAAAGCAAAAAGTGAAATGCGCGTCTGATAGGCGAACCTTATGAAACCCTACTTGGAGGTCCATGGCTAGCTATAAGTGGGGCTATAAGGTAGGGTAGCCATACTTATGACCCATATGGGGGGCCTTATAACCCTGCTTATGACTACCATGAACCTCCAAGTAGAATCGATGTAAAGGAAACCCCTAACAGGCTATGGAATTCGTGAACGTCCTCTCCGTTGCTCTAGCGGCTGAGAAGTCGGTGTTGGCGGTCAAGGGCATGGAGGCATCGGTTCTTAAACGGGCATTGGGGTTTACGTCGCAGAGTTTAGGTCTTTGCGAGTTAAGGTTCAGAGGCTGGGAGTTTTGGATGGGTTTGGATTGAAACAACAATCCTGTCCCACCCTCAGGCCCAAATGCACGAGCTCTCGGGTTTAAATACCATGCTACGTAGGATCGTTGGGCCTGTTTGCAGCCTTGCGGTAAACAGGCAGGTAAGAACCATGTTGGCACAGGAATGCAGGGTTTTCAGTTTCATGCTGGAGAAGCCCTAACCCTGGGCATCAAAATAGCCCAAAAGCCTTACATAGTATGGTCTTTGGGCCCAAAAAACTTAATATATGAGTCCTTAGATGCCTAGGGTAAACAGGGAGCCTAATTTCAATACCCGGGAGAGGTGGGGTTCGGACTTTAAGGTTTGGAGTCGGCTTGGATCAAGAGGGCTTCAGGTCGGCGCCAAGCCTTAAAGTGCCAAGTACGGAATACTTGGAAGGGCAGGGGACTTAGTAAGTAGGTTATAAGTAGGGTTATCATTGGGGTAATTCCATTTAGGGTACTTATAAGTCTACTTACTACCTACTTACTAAGTGCCCTGCCCCTCCAAGTAGAGTGTTCAGGGGTTCGGGCTTAGGAGGTTTTCCCAACCCCCCTGCGAAGGAAGCCGTGAGAGAATGCACCCGCAACACCGTTTCAAGTCCTGAAGTGCAAACTGCCAGCCACAAATGGTTTTCTATGTTGGCCCCGTCTTGGCGGTATATGTTTGATCTCGATCATGCCATTCCGCGATTAGTTTGCGATTGAATTGTAAGCTTGGCAGGACATGCCTCTGAGTGCCGTAGTGGGAACCATCGATGTCTGGTGGATGATCCACGCCACTTGTCGGCTGAAGACTTCTCTCGGGACTCCATAGTAGCACTTAGGAATACTTGGTGGTTCATGGGTAGTTATTCCTCGGGATACAAGTAGGGTTACCATATTTAGGGGTCACCAGGACCCCAAAAGTATGTAGAATAACAGCCTTTTAAAAGTATTGGACGGTTAGTTTAGCCACTTTTGGGGTTTTAAGGGTTTAGGTGTGGACTTGCGCAAAACAGGTCGGTGATTAAGCTTGGGAGTTTTGTCCGGACAGCCGTTGCAGCAATAATTTGCGGGTTTGATTGCCTAAACCGTTTAAGGTTACCCGGAAATTATCCTGAGCCTCCCGGAGCTAGTCCTCCAGTGGGCAAGGTAGGTGCAGGGCTACAGGGTTTAGGGGTAGTTATACGTCGGGTTATACTATTATACGTCCCCTACTGTAGTACGCGTTTCAATAATATTCAGTTGCCCTACTCACAACGCGCTGCGTTGTCTGGGTGTCCGTTTTATGCTGTCGCTGTGCAAATCCCGGTGAAAGGTGACAGTGCCAAGTGATGTGAGTACTTGGAGGTTCATGGGTAGCTATAAGTGGTTATAAGTAGGGTATCTATATTTGTTATAACCCATATCAGGGGACTAATAACCTTACTTATAACTACTCATGAACATCCAAGTAGTCACGGACTCTCCCGCGGCCTCAACCAAGCTGAGACATTCGGCTGAAGAACTGAACCAGACTGAGCTCGAAAACCAGGTATTATAGGAATTACACGTTCAACTACTTCTTCAGCACCCTGAAACACTAAAGGCAAAGTTGTTCTTTTTTTATGGCCCCCGACGGATTCTGAAGCTGCATAGATCTGTCTTGCTCCTAAACCCTGTGCCTTACCCATAAGCTCCATAGTGTTTCGTTTTTGGGATTACCTTACTGAACAGCAAGAAGGAACTACTATGGACCATGGAGCCTATGGGTACTTCCTAAATCGCAAGGACGGTGGCTTCATGATCCTCTTGAGCTGGCTCTTGCTGCAGCCGCCTGGCATCTGTCCGTTGTGGACCTTCGAGTCATTGTGACCTTCCTTACCTAGATAGCCCAACGCCCCTTGTTTATGGAATATACCAGAAATTATAAGGGGCCTTAATATGTGTATTAAGGCTTAATGTATATTTCCCAATGCCCCTCAGATAAGGAACATACCAGAAAGAATAGGGGCCTTAATATTATGGTAAAATGTATATTCCTTCGTCAAGAGGTATAGGGCTCTCCCTAAGCCCTAAACCCTGTGATGGTCAAGGCACGGACCCTCGAACCCTAAACCCTATAGAACCCTTGAAGGAACCATTATGGTACCCTGAAAGGAACCCTTAAAGAATCCACATACTCTTTGGGTACATTGATCAAGGCACCGCATTTGGCGGCAGTGCCACATTCGAATCTTCACCATTACCGAGGCATCCTGGGCCTTAGGGTTTCTTTTAAAGGGCGTTATACTTTATCTACAAGGGAACCTTAGGGTTCCTTTAAAGGCATTCATAGTTTCTCTATAAGGGAACTAGAATATAGGGGCCTTCATAATTCTCCCGGGGGCCTTAACTCCTTGGCGTTGTTTTTGTGTTTTGTTGTTCTGGTTGGATCTTGGGGCTTTAACTGTTGGGCTTCTATATGCACTATAAGACGAATAAGTAGGCTAAAAGTTCAACTTTGAGGAGGGGTTCAGCTCGAACCTCATGTCGATACATGTGATGCTGCTTCAGGCTTTGCAAGGTCCGTGGTACGGGTTCTGCTTAGGGGCGAGCTCATGTGGGATGAATATAGAAGCAGTTACATAGTCTTGCCATTTCTCGGGTCTGAGAAGGTGGTTCTTTCCCAAATTCGAATATATGGAGTTTCTTTAGGTTTATGAACCTATGAGTCATAACCTCTGGTTGAGGGTTTATGACAAGTTTATGATACAGATTTACTTTGGGTACGGCCCCCACTCAGTAATAGGTGAGTAATATTCATAATATAGATATAGTAGGACCTTATAATCGTAGCCCTATTATAGACTCTTACTGTATGGGGGCCGTCCCTAAGATTTACTTCAGCTTCTCCTCTGGGTGCTACCGTTCAGGAGCTCGATGCCTTCGAAGGGCCGAATTTGCGAAGCTATATAGAAATTGAGATCTGCAAAGGGAGATCACAAACTGAAGAGATTTAGGACTCGGGGTTTAGAGTTGAGGGTTCATCAGGGTTGAGGAAATTATGTTTAGTTTAGGGTTTCTGAAACTCTGCACATCCTAGGGCGGGCTCTTGTCACATTGTTTTTGAGAGAAAAAGGCTGCGGTAGCTGAGCCACAAGTCCAGGCCGAAGCTGACACATAAATCCGCGATGAACATACTCTGCGCACCATGTCTGTTTAGGGTTCAGGGTTTAAGGATGTTTGGGGTTCAGGGATGTTAAGGGTCAAGCGTTCTTGGTTAAGTTTAGGGACATGTGCACTGCTGGCTATCTAAATTATGAAGCTTCTGAGGTATGCAAGTTCCAGGACACCTAAATCCTGCACACTCGTTGCACTAGACCACCAAACGAATGCCCTAGTCCCCTGAGTCACGGTCGGCGGCAGGGCGTGTCTGAAGAGCGTGCCAAGAATGCGGCTGAGCTGCTGACGCGCACCCTGCGACAGCGCAGGCACAATGAATTCGTGATAGTCTTGCATCGCGCTCTGCCGGGGGTGGGGGTTACTGGTGGGGTGTTGGGGGGGTGGGTTGGGCTTTGAGGCTCTTCGGGGTTGGCTGGAGCTCGGGAACGCCTCAGCCCTCTGCGTGCGGTCATGCCGTGTGGGAGGTGGGCGCGAGGGAGGGGCGAGGGGGAGAGGGGGGGGGACCGGGGGGGAGGAGGAAGGAGGGAGGGGGAGGGAGGGAGGGGAGGTGTCACCTGAGGTAATCCTCAAGACGCCTGGGCCTGTGGCCTCGGCGGATTTCTATGAGTGCAATGAGGCCCCTTGGGAATAGTAGCTTTAATCATTCATGCTCTTGCCAAAAGAGGAGATGACGACGTATCCTGACTAGACCCTATCCGCCATAAGAATCCCAGCATGTCCCGCCACCTCGACCCTGATCAACGAAGTGAAAGTGGTGGCCTAGGTCCTCAAGGTTGGAGGTTTCGAGGGTCCAACGGTGCAAATTGATTTGATTGTGTTCTGGGGTGTTGGGCGGAGGCAGGAGAGGCAACAGTAACAAATATGAGCATGATGGTGATGTTGATGTTGATGACGACAATGATCGTGGTGGTGGTGATGATGACGATATTCAGGATACCGCTGAAGGTTAAGTCACATTTTCATCATATGCAGAATGCAAGAATTCTGATAACCATAATAAAGACAGTAGCAAGAGACACAGAAAAAAGCAATAAACCCCAAATGAGAAAGCCTAACATCCCGAAGCATTCTGTGACCACCCACATGGTTTTCTCAAGCCAGAATGGCTTGAGCTGTGCAATTTAGGCCTCCACATGTGTATCAGAATCCACCGCCCCCGTGTCGCAGGCTCTTCGAAGTGGACGTTGAGGTCGTCATCGTCGATGATGCCGCTGGTCTTGCCAAACAAGGTTGGAAGTTTGGAATCGTAACCTTTAAAGTTTAGCTGTCGAGCACGAAACCCGAGTCCGTCGGCCCTGACTGCACGATCTGTCTTGCTGAGACCTGAATCATGTGTGATGCTCAGACCATGGGTGCTGCTGCTACTGCTTCTCCTCCTCATCCTCCTCCTCCTCGTCTTCCTCTTCCGCCTCCTACTACTACTACTACTACTGCTGCTACTACTACCACTACTACTTCGAAATTCTACTTCTACTTCTACTTCTACTCCTACTCCTACTCCTACTCCTACTCCTACTCCTACTACTACTACTACTACTACTACTACTACTACTACTACTACCACCACTATTTAACCCTAATCTTTTTCCCCAAGCCCTAAACTCACGAAGGAGACTCATCCCTAAACACTAATCCCCAAACGTTACGTAAATTCACAAAGGAGATGATTCCACGGAAAAGGCCCTTAAAAACAATTCACAAAGGAGATGATTCAGCCATACACCTACGACTGGACCCTGCGCGTGGACCAGCGTCACAAGTTCGTGGAGCAGCTGCACGGATCGAAGGCCGGTCGTCACCCATTTACGGGCCTCTTTAAGGGCTTCTTTTCGAGGGTCTTATATGGTTTATAGGGTTTATGGGGTTTTATGGTTTTTGCAGGTTCCCGCTTTTGATGCCCCTTTTAGGGGTGCCTTCTAAGGGATCCATTAGGGGTTTCTATGGGGTATCATACGGTTTGAAGGTTTTTGGTTTTACAGGGTCTGGGGCTATAGGGTTTTATGGGGGTTAGGGTTAAGATTGTACAAGGATTCTAGATCGGTTGTTTGGGTTTTGCCTGGCTTCAGGCACCGTAGGGCTCAGAGCGCTACATATTGAAGCCAGTTTGAAGCTCAGCCAACGGATGCCTACGTGGGGATGCCAGACTAAGCTACACTAAGTTCTTGTCGTTTTAAGCCCACACCCAATATTGCAAGCGCTGAATGTCTGCGGATGAAAAGCGATTCAGCAGGGAGCCCCAAGTTGCTTTAGGGTTGAGGGGTTTTAGGGTTTAGGGTAGATGCGGTTACTTCAGCAGGAAGATCGATCAGGGTTTGAGGATACAGAGCCTTCTCCGCGAATTGAAGTTTATGAAAGGGCTGAAAGGGATGACAAAAGGTTTTGGGCACGGTTGTCTTAATGTGACGTGTTTGCTTCTCACTTGTGCTTTTGGCTTACCGTTGGATAGTAGGGAATGGAAGAATGGTAGTAAGAGTAGTTATAATTGTACCCCATTCTTCCATTCCCTACTAACCAAAGGTAAGTTATAGGATTATTAAGGCCCCTATATTATAGTACCCTTATAGATCCCTTATAATAACCCTTATAGATCCCTTTATAAAGCCCATTCCTCCGTTCCCTACTAACCAGGGTGTTCATCCGAATGCATCTGCGGGGTGAGACCACATGCTTCCCTCGAGAGGCCGCCAAAGAAGGCATTGATGCCATTCCTCTGGAGATTGACGACCTTTTTAAGATGGAGGAGGCTGGGAAGATTAGTGTAAGGGCCTGAAGAAGGGTTAGTTTCACTGTATCACCAATGATTTCTGGCTTCGTTATTAGCAGAATTGCATACTTCATTACAAACCTTACAGCTGAAACTGCACCTGCTTTGCAGAAAGAGGGGTGTCCGAAACCCCCAAAACTATCCTCAAGCACACGGAGTTCACTGTATGATCTGTTTAGTTTGGTATAGAGTGTGTGAGGCATCAACTTGGAGGGTCGGGGGACTTAGTAACTGGTTATTTTAGGGACTTGTAAGTACCATAACCCCTATAGGGTCCCTTTTAGGGTACTTATAAGTCTACTTACTACCTACTTACTAAGTCCCCTAAAGACCCTCCAAGCAAGGGTTGAGGAAGGGTTGCCGGATGCTTCATTGTGGCCCATGTCTGCTGCAAAGTATGCTAAACCCTGCACGCAAACCCCTCTGCTGACTGCTTGCATACTATAGGGGCCCCGATAACTACGTATACTATGTTGGCAGGGTTCCGTATTCTGATTTTAGTATAATGGGCCGCAAAAGCCTATTCGAATTATTGCGATTCCTTTTTTTAGCCCCTAAGCCACTAAAACTCAAAAACCCTCAACCCTAACCTCGAAAGCCTCAAATCCCAAGGGAGGAGCCCCTGAAGCCCTAAACCCTGCCTGTAGTCTCCATTGTAGTTCCTTTTTGGGGTTACATTATAGGATCCTTATTACATATTTGGTTAAACCAAAAAAGGAACTACAATGGAGACTATAGGTAAATCCTAACCCTAAAGCCGAGACTGCCACAGGCCGAGGAGCAGGGCAGAAGCAGGTCACACTCGAAGAGGAAAGAGCCCTCTTCGCCGAAGCAGCTGTGCCGAAATGGCTTTATGAAGGGTTATTCGGACCTGACCTAGACCCTCCATCTACCCTCTATTGGACCCTAAATGCCCCTTATTTGGGACCATATACCCCTATTTGAGGGTACAAGGAGAGTCCTGGAAGGCTCTAGGGTTTAGGGGTTATTTAGGGGTTGTGGTTTAGGTCAACTAGGTGGAAATGGCCTTACCTGCAGTCTCCACCGGAGATAACATTTTCGGATCCTGGATATACAACGGTTAAGCCAAAAGGGAACTACAGGAGACTACAGGTAGGAAGGTTTAGGGCTTTGAGTTTAGGACTTGGTTTTCAGAGTGGCGGGCTATGTGCAGGTCTAGGCTTGGGGTTTAGGGGTTTTGATTTGTTTATTGAACTTCTGAGTTCACTGCGGGCCCAAAATCTTGAAGCTTATTCCCTCTGCGTCCTTCTCAGCTCTCTCTAAGCCAGACCTATCCTGGATTCAACGGGCGATGAAGCCTAAACCTTAAAGCCTAAACTCCCCAAACCCCCAATCTTAAGCTTGAAAACACCCGAAACCTTAACAGGACTCAGAAAGAAGAACCTAGAGTAGAAGCCAGAAAGTTGGAAAATCATTAGCCTCATGCCTTCAAAGCAAAGTATAGGGAATCCTAGCACTGATCCTCCTAAATCCACGTTGAAACTTTCTGGTGTTCACTATAAAGCTCAGGCTGGTATCCGAAGGACATCAGGGGCAGGTGGCGGTGTGCGACTTGCGCTCAGGCTCGGGTGTTTATTGATTTTGTGCGTTCGAGGAGTTTGGGGGTTTGCGGTTTAGGGTCTTTGGGCAAATATAGGGGCGTAAAAATTACCAATCCTGGTTTGGGGGTTCCGTATTATATAATTACAGTATAGTATAGCCCACAACCCTATTCTAATCAATAAGGCCGCTATATTAAGGAGAAAAACCCCAACCCTGAAGGGGTCGAGGGTCTCATAGAGTTCGGGATCTACTATAGAGGCCTTCATTACCTCTACTATTTGGGGGTTCCTCATGAAAGTTATAATATACTGCGCCCCAAAACCCCATTGTAATTATTCAGGCCCTTATAGTAGAGGGTTTGAGGTGGGCAGCGGTGTTTCAAGACACGGGTTTGGAAGGGTTTCTAAGGGATTGGATTTGAGGAACTTAATCTATCCTAATCTCTCGACACTCTGAACCCTAAACCCTCAAACGAGATGGTGAGGAAGTCGGTCCATCATTCTCGGTATATTGGTGCCTGCGGGACATGGAATGTATGAAGTTTTGCAAGCATGCATCTCTGTAGGCACACATGCTTGCATGCTTGAAAACGATTAAGCCATCCGACTGCCTGTGTCTGTCTGTGTGTGCACGTGTTTGTGTGTGTGTGTGTGTGTGTGTGTGTCTGTGTGTGTGTGTGTGTTTGCGCGTGTGTGTGCGTGTGTGAGTGTGTTGTGTGTGTGTGTGTGTCTCTCTGTGTGTGTGTGTGTGTGTCTGTGTGTGTGTGTCTGTGTGTCTGTGTGTGTGTCTGTGTGTGTGTCTGTGTGTGTGCGTGTGTGTGTGTGTGTCTCTGTGTGTGCGTGTTTGGGGCCGTCGGCAGAGGTCTAGTGAGTCTAGTTTAATCGTATTCTGGATTGATCTATCGGCGAGGCTAGCTACTGTGGAGGTCTGAAAAATTGGCAACCACATCCCCTCATAGTCCGTATACATTGTTTTTTCAATATCTCTGGGCAAGCAGTGCCTGGGATTTGGCGGCGAAGACTTGTGTACATGCACCATGTTGTGAGCCACCAAAAGGTCAGTCATTCGTCACGTAGGCCGCTCTGCTTGATGGGCTTTCCGTTCTCTATACTAGACTCCGAGCATCTCAGAACCCTATAAGCCCTAGAGTTCTTTAAAGTACCAGTATCCTCCTTGTACCCTCAAATAGGGGTATATGGTCCCAAATAAGGGGCATTTAGGGTCCAATAGAGGGTAGATGGAGGGTCTAGGTTACCCAAAGGCCCCAAAGTAGTTTTTTTTGGGGGTCTATACAAAGCATCCTATAAGGTAATCCCAAAAAGGAACTATTATGGGGCCTCGGGTAGCTTCAGAACCCTACATCCCTAGAGTTCCTAGAGTTCTTAAACCCTTAACCCTAGCGTTCTTTAACCCGTAAAACCTAAAGTGTAGAGTTCTTTACACCCTAAACGCTGGAGTTCTTTAAAGTAGACTCAGAACTACTTCCGTGCACCTCGGGAGGGCCCAGCGAACGCCCCAACGTGGCGGAGCACGTGCGAGCATTGGGCGGCCTGTTTGCCTTCGCCTTTTTTTAGGAGTTTTAGGGGTAAGTATTTTTGTTGGCAACACGCTGGGCGGAAGGTCTTAAGGATATGTCCAGAGAGCCTTGTACCGATACCCGTGAATTAAGGAACATACCTTAAACGTTGGGCACTGCCGGGCTCCTGTAACAGTGGAATAACCATTTCCTTATATAGACACCCCCAAAAAACGCACAACTGTTTTTGGGCAAGGAAGGTGCCCAAGTTGGCCTTCCCAAACTACTTTTCCGGCAAATCAGTTGCTCCCTGTCTCCGCTCTCCCCTCTCTCCCCTCTCTCCCCTCTCTCCCCTCTCTCCCCTCTCTCCCTTCTCCCCCCTCTCCTCCCCTCTCCCCCCTCTCTCCCCTCTCTCCCCTCTCTCCCCTCTCTCCCCTCTCTCCCCTCTCCTCGCTCTTCCCTCTCTCCCTCTCTCCCTCTCTCTCCTCTCCCCTCCCTTCTCTCCTCTCCCCTCTCTGCCCTCCCCTTCTCCCCTCCTCTCCCCCTTTGCCCCCCTCTCCCCCACCTGTCTTCTCTCACTCTCCCCTCTCTCCCTTCTCTCCCCTCCCTCTCACCCCTCTCTCCCTTCTCTCCCTCTCCCCTCTCTCCCCTCTCTCCCCAGTACCAGCAATCTCTGAAATCTACTACTTCTCCCAGCCAGCAAGGGCAGCAAAACCAAAACTTTTTCAATATACAAGGGAGCCAGTGGCCAGTAGCAGCAAACTCTCAACTCTGCTAATCTTCCAGGCAGCCAGGAGCAGCAATTTCTCAACTCTGCTAATCTGCCAGGCAGCCAGGAGCAGCAATTTCTCAACTCTGCTAATCTGCCAGGCAGCCAGGAGCAGCAGTTTTCAAAATTACCTCTGTGTCTGTGACCGCTAGATTTCAGTTGTGGTTTTTTCTGGATTCAGTTGTGCTTTTTTTGTGGTGGTGATTTGAAGTTTGTGCTTTTGCTGGTGCTTTGCCGTGGCTTGGCACGGTGGTTGAGCACAAAAAATACCACAAACTTCAAATCACAACCACAAAAAATACCACAAACTTCAAATCACAACCACAAAAAAAAGCACAAACTTCAAATCACAACCACAAAAAAGCACAACTGAATCCAGAAAACGAAAAATACCACAAACTTCAAATCACAACCACAAAAAATACCACAAACTTCAAATCACAACCACAAAAAAAGCACAACTGAATCCAGAAAAAACCACAACTGAAACCAGAAAAACACACAACTGAATCAGGAAAATTTGGAATCTACCTGCCAAAATGCTGGGGAAAGGCCGGCGCCTTTAAAAATGATCAAGTGGCCACCAGACCCCCCACGGTCCCCAGGCCGGCAAAGGCCAGCCCCCTCTGTGGCCTCCCTGCACCCCCAGGCCGGCCAAGGCCAGCCCCCTCTGTGGCCTCCCTGCACCTCACCAGCTTGCAGTTTGGGTTAATGAGACTCGTCCCTTTTCCCCTCAATTCATTCCCCCCAAAAAGAAGGTGCAGTGTCATTGTCTGTCGATTGTCTCTGTTCGATGCGTGCGTAGAAGGGAAACGACTTATGGTGCTGAGTGAATGCTCAGTTGCAGGTTTTCAGGGGATGCAGCAGCATCCTTTCTTCTAGGCATGCTGCAGGAAGTCATGGTCTAATTTTCGAAATTTCTGATTAGCGGCATTGTCGGCATTGTGGCTTTCATATTGATTGATATCAATATCTGTGTTTATATCCCAAAATGGCACATTACATGACTGGAAGTCGATTAACTTATAAGTTATAAGTTCTAAGACATTACAGCTAACTATGAGGCCTACACTTTCGGGCTCCGTGGTCATAAAAAAAGAAATAACAAGAGTAGGTGAACAGAAACACCAACTGCGAAGATTGTGTGATCATGGCATAGGGAGAAGGGGAAAGCATGGGGCTGGTGGGACTAAAATAATATCGATGCACAGATCACAGAACTATGCAGGGAAGGGACACAAACCAGATTTCTTCTGCACCCATTTTTTCAGTGACAATTGTAAATCTAGGTTTTGCATGAACCCCATAAAAAGAAGTTGTTTTTTTTTGTGGGTTTCATTGTGGTCACTGTTACAGGGGCCCGGCAGCCCCCAACTTAAACGGCAGGAGCTTTAGTGGATTTTGAAATTTGGTTTAACGTATATTCCTCAATTAAGGGGTTTTGGAGTCCCCTTAAACCCTAAACCCTATTGATCACCTGTAAGAGCCCTTAAAGGAAACCTTATGCATCCCTTAATTAAGGGGCATTGGGCGCTCTGGGCGTGGTACAGGGTTTTAAAGGCTTTCGTCGGGAGGCGCTATTGCTATCGTGGCTTTCCCGAGGGGATGGTCTCGCGAAGGGCAAAGGGTTCCATTAAAGGGGTCTATAAGGGATCTGTAAGAGTTCGACGGTATAGGGGCCTGAATAATGAGAATAAAGTCTGGGGGTAGATTACAATATGATCAACTACAACAAGGAGCCCCCGAAACCCTGTTCTAATTATTAAGGCCCCTTCATTACTCGAGTCATACCGTCCTTCTGCCCCGAAGCTCAGCCCGAACTCCTGGTGAGTCGTAGCTCTGCTCTGGCCCTCACTGGGTGATGGGTCACCCAGAGACTCCAATATCCCTTAATTGAGGAACATTCCTTTAAAATCATATTAGGGATCTTGTTTTATAATTTAAGAAACTACATGCCTTAATTAAGGGATATTGGAGTCTCCGGGCAGCTACAGGCAGGGCTGCCACGGTGATGAACGACGTGGCCGAGAACACCACTTGGAAGCCAGTTCATGCTGAGACTGACACGCTCCTGACCCAAAGGGTCCTATGTACAGTTCTGGGGGGATACTTCCCTAAGTCATAATAGTAGTTCCTAATATGAAGACCGTTCATTCTTCTATATCGGTACATAGGACCCTTTGGAGGAAAGCTTGCATTCCTCTGCCGCAGGGGCTCCAAGGCGGAGATTGGACTCGTCCGCAACCCCCGTGGGGCTACAGACTGTGGGTCCGGAGCTGGCCAACTTTGCCCGTCAACCTCTATGCCGAACTCGACTTGCAGGTTGAAAGCCGAATACTACCGGTAACCTTTGACCTTTTCTGGGGTACCATGAGTAAACCCTAAACCCTAAACCGGTGTATAAGGGCTCCGGGACCCTTACACCGAGGTATAGGATCCTCAACACCCTACAAAACGGGAGCTCTGCAGTCTACACCCGTCTTGAACCCCGAAAAACCCAACCCGGTCAAGGTGACATATAGGGTTTAGGGTTTAGGGTTGCAGCTTCAATAAGGAACCCTACAAAGGGTAGGATTTATAGGGTCTAGGCACAGCCTAAAACCTAGTTCCCAGGTGGCGGGGTCGACGGCTCCAGCGCAGCCTCTTTGACCAGCTTGGGTTCCCCCAGAAGTGCTCTGGAGGCCCTTCAACATGCATTCACGCAGGGTTTAAGTACGAGGACGGCGAGGATTCCTACTGCTGCTACTTCCGGCATGTATCTCCGGATTGCTCCTGCTCCAGTTCCTGCTACTGATACTGCTTCTGCTACTGCTGCTGCTGCTGCTGCTCCTACTACTCCTATTACTCCTACTACACCTAGCACTACTCCTACTACTTCTCCTACGCCTCCTACGACTGCGACTGTGACTCCGACTGCGACTGCGACTTCGACTGCGACTGCGACTGCTGTTGCTGCTGCTCTGCTACTGCTACTGCCACTGCCACTGCCACTGCCACTGCCATTGCCACTGCCACGGCGACTGCGACTGCGACTGCGACTGCGACTGCGACTGCGACTGCGACTGCTACTGCTACTGCTACTGCTACTGCTACTGCTACTATTATATACGACAACAACAACAACAGCAACAACAACAACAACTACTACTACTACTACTACCACCACTGCTACTACTACTACTACTACTACTACTACTACTCCTGCTGCTGCTGCTGCTACTACTACTACTACTGCTACTAATACAACTGCTGCCACCAGTACTTGAACGAAAGCATCAGAGTATAGAAATTATAAGTCCTTGGAAAGGTAGGTTATTTAGGGTTAAGGCAAATCTCACGCACAATGTTCGACAACTTTCAGGACCCTCGTTTGCTTCGGAGGGTTACGCGCCTGGCCAGGCCATGGTGAACAACGGCAGCAGCAAGGCTGACTTAGGGTTTAGGGCTCCTTAAAAACGGGGGGGGTATAGTGGTTCCTTTAATGGGCTCTATAAGGGTACTATAAGGGTTGAGGGGCTTAGGGTTTAGGTGTTTAAGGTTTAGAAGTTGAGGGTTTAGGGGTTTCAGTCAGGTTTCAGGCCTTTAGGGCTTCAGGGCTATAGGGTTCGAGGGTTCAGTGCTTAGAGTCCAGGGCTGTCGGGAGTAGGGAATACATGCTTAGGGCATGTCAATCAAAGACAGGTACAAATCTCAGCTCTGCGTGAAGTGCCAGCTCCGCAGCCCGCCCTGCCAGCAGGCGAAGAACCTGAGGAGAAACTGAGGATGAAGACTTGCTGGAGGGTCTTTGATCGGAGTTTTGCGGCGCCCGTCGCGGCGCCTGACACCTTCACGATCTTCCATCGGCCGCCCCGTTAACGATCGGACGTTACAGCAGGCAGCCTGCTCACAGGAATCAGACGACCTTCCGATGTTGGAGCCGCGCGATTTTGCAGCCAACAGGGCCCAGACGGTCATAACGATGAGTGAGCAGATCCCAATCTGGCTGAAGCCGACCCCAGGCAAGGTCCTCCCCAGCGTCGTCAGACTGCAGACAGCCGCGGAGCAGAGGTGATTGCAGGTACCCTATATTTATAACCCCCCACTTAGAACTACCCATGAACCTCCACATATTTTATATTGTGTTTCATTTTACTGTATCATATCGTCATGTACATCACTATATTGTTTGTTATGTTATCTCATATCGTGTTATAATTTATGTTACAAGGTAAATCCAAGGGGCCCAAAGGGTTCTGAAACAAGTGCTTGCATTATGGCTGCAAGGGTGAAAATGCTAGATTCCACTTTTCAACAGTTTGGAGTCAAGGCTAAACACTAAGCTTTGGGTACTGCCCCCGCTTCTGTAGTAGTTGGATAATGCTTATATATAATCAAGGCGTGTATAGCCCTTATTCTGACCCCTAGCCCTAATATGTAGACCGTCATAGCGTGGGGCACTACTCTACCTGCACTCCTCCAACGGAAGCAGCAAGATGCTTGACTGTAGGGTGCAGGGCTTTAACTTTCGGAGGATGCCACGCGCCCTAAACTCATACTTGGAGGGTCGGGGGACTTAGTAAGTAGGTAGTAAGTAGACTTATAAGTACCCTAAAGGGGACCCTAATTGGGATTATGGCACTTATAAGTCCCGAAAATAAACAGTTGCTAAGTCCCCCGCCCTTCCAAGTCAACTCATACCCTGCAAGACCTATAGCCTTCGAGGCCCTAAGGCCTAAAGCCACCCGAACCCCTGAAGCTCAAGTCCTATAGTATGCTTAGAGAGCGCGTAAAGCAACCCTTCAAAGCAGCCGTTTTGTAAGGCTGTACTGGACATCGAACTCATCTAGAGCCCGATAACCCTTACTTCAGGACTAGTTCGGAAGAATGCTTTAAACAGTTTAATTTAAATGGGCTTAACGTGGTGATTTGAGGTATATTCTTGAATGGAGGCATATCGAAACCTCAGAAAAGCCCAGAACTCTCTACATAAAACGCTGTATCAACCTAGGTTCCTTATTCATGAAGTGATCTTGCACCATCCGCGCCTAAACCCTAAACCCTGAACACTAAAACCCTAAACCCTAAAACCCTAAAATCCTAAACCCTAAACCCTATCGAAGAGCCCTCGAAAAAACTATCGACACAGGAGGATGATTGCCACAGCGCCGAGTCTAGACCGTCGGGTTCCAAGATATTTCCTTGCGGTTCCTTAGTATAGAGTTTAGGGTTCCTTAACTTAAGGATTTAGGGTTTAGGGTTCTTTTAAGGGTAGGGTTGAGGGTTCCTTAACTTAAGAGTTTAGGGAGTTTAGGGTTTAGGGTTGCTTTAAGGGTATGGTTTAGGGTTTGGGGCGAAGGGATCTGTGAGGGCTTCGGGCGTAAGGATTAAGGGCTTTGTAAGGGTTCCTTCAAGAGTTCTATAAGGATTCCCTTAAGGGGTCCCAAACAGGCTTCTCGAAGGATTCCATGAAGGGCTACGATGAGGCCCACTAGCATGTTCTTTAAATTGGGGGTTGCAGGGTTGCATAAAAGGTTCCTTTAAGGATATCTAGACGGGTTCTCGAATAAGGGATTTTAGGGTTTTGGGGTTTAGGGGTCGTTTTGAGGTTTTGGGGTTCAGGGTTTTGAGGTTCAGGGTTAAGGTTGTTTCAGGGCTTGGGGGGTAAGTTTAGTGGCTCGTGCCGCCGAGCACTGCAGCCAGGCCGAGTGCGAGCGATATGCTAAATTAGTCAACGGAGATTGATGTCCTTCCTGTTCAGGTGTCTGATTCATCTTCCGTCCCCATTCAAGCTCACGGCAGAAGTCACGCCAAGGCCGCCGCCGGCAACTCTTCCTGGGATGTATGGGGCTCTCGACAGCACCTACCTTACTTTTGGTTAGTACGGAATGGAGGAATGTGTATTATTACTATTGCTACCCTTCTTCCATTCCCTACTAACCAAAGGTAAGCTACAAGCTCAGCTTTCCTGGCTGGCCGGTGTTGGCATTTTGTCTCAGCGGCAAATACGTGGACGCCAGACAGGAGCTCGCTGAAGGTGTCCCCCGTAGTCAGGCGATTCCCATTGCCGTGGCGGCTCTTCCACAAGAACAGGATCGCGCAGACTTGCGAACCCAGAAATTTCGGGAGGATCCAAAAAGTAGATCCCTTAATGGGGGGTCCTGTAAAGTAATCTTAGTAGTATAGGATCCCCAAAGAAGGGGATCTACTTTCTAGATCCTTGCGGCTCCGGGCAAGCACCCAGAGACTAACCTTAAATCATATAAGGAGTCCTATTATAATGTAAGGTATTTTCCTCAATTAAGGGATACTGGAGTCTCTAGGCAGCTGCTGACGATAAGCGATTTCTTGCTAGGTTTCCCTAAGGCTCCATGTACCCATGTAGTATATACTTAGGCCCTAAACGGGTTCCTATATGGGTACTTTAGGGTATAAGTATATACTATATGGCTACGTGGAGCCTTTGGGTTTTGGGCTTAGGGTAAAGGTTTGCCGGGCGTAGGGTCCTAGCTTCTATCTAGGGCGCAACGCAAGGGCTGCGTACCACGCTTCTTGGCTCTTTGGCAGGGGGCAAAAAGCACTGGATGATTCTTTGTCTTTGGGATGGGGGGCGCGGGGGGGGGGGGGGGGGGGGTTGGCTTTAGTGGTAATGGTGTTGCTGCTGCGGCGCAAACATTGGAGCCTAACCTAGACCCCAGCCCCCAAATGGTCTAAACCCCCAACCCTAAACCCCGAAACTTGGCGTTCTACCGGTTGATTCTTAGGACATTAACTTCTTAGGTTTCTATATGAACTATAATAAGTAGGCGAAAGGTTTAACTGTTAGGAGGGGTTCAGAGCCCGGCCAAGTCAACTTAAGCCCTAAGCCCTACCTTAACCTACCAAACCCTACCTTTTTGCAGGTTCTTATTATAAACCCTAATCTGGAATTTATAGGGACCCTACCTTTTTTGTAGGTTTTGGTAGGTTAAGGTAAACCCTAAACCCTAAAAACTCGAAGCCCTGGCCTCCGAGGGCCCTGGCCGCCCGAAAGGAGTGGGCTACCGAAGCCCCGGCGAGTTTGCAGAAGTGCCCACTTTGGGTTTTTTGGTTTTGGGGTTTGGTGTTTTAGGGTTTTGGGGGTTTGGGGTTGAGGGTTTAGGGTTGGAGGGTTTTGGGTTCAGAGTTTTGGGGTTTAAAGGTCCAGGGTTCAGGATTTACGGGTTTGGGGGGGTTTAGGTGTAGGGGTAAAGGTCTCGGGCTCGGGTCCAACATACCAAAGCGTTGGAGCAGCCCAAAGGAAATTGACCCGGAAAGCCTTAGGCCTTTGCCCTAAATCCTGCGCTTCACAGAAAAACCCAAACCTTCAACACTTGCCCCAAAGCGTAAACCCTAGCTGAACTGAACCTCAAGCAACCCAGCAATTTAAGGACCTATGCAACGAAACTACAAGGAAACCCTAAACCCTGAAGCAGCCTAAACAGGCAGAATTTAGGGTCCAGGAAGCCCTTCGGGGTTTAGGGTTCAGGGGTTTCGGGAGCTGTTAGCACTTCGAGCCGATGTAGGGAGAGGGTTTAGGATTGCGGGAGAGGTGTAGATAAAGCCTGCATCCTATCGCTGTCCCTCTCGTGCACCAAGCGTTTTCATCTGCTTGCATTTTTGTTATTTCGAAGCATCGGGTTTAGGGTTTAGGGTGGGGAGAGTTCCATGAATCCCAAACTCAACCCCTCATTCTCCCTGGTGCAAAGCCAGCAGCCTTCCCTTTCTACTTAAGGGCGCCGTACTTTCTTTAGGACCTAGAATCAGGACCCTAATTGAGATAACTATCCAAACTCGGTGCTAGCTGCTTTTTTCTGACATGCCCACGCGGCTTCGACTAAACCCCGCGCAGGGCAACTTCCCTTTGTGCAATGCCCGGGTTGGGCGGAAAGACACACTACCTTGACGTTCTAGAACCTACCTGTTTAGGGATCCCTATGACAGTTTGTGTATATAAGTCCTTAAACAGGCAGGTAGACTATCATTTTGGGTTTAAGGTACAGGTTGTGCTTGATTCCGGCCAGGTGGCTTCTTTCCAGAAGCTGAACGAAACGATCCTCTCGCGCTCCAAGCGGTCTCAATTGGTTGTCGGATGCCCGGGTTTGCCCTAAGGCCCCAAAGTAGTTCTTTTTTTGGGGTTCATATTTAGAATCCTGTATATAAGGTAATCCCAAAACGGAACTACTTTGGGGCCTATGGGTAGATTGGTGGTTGTTCGGGTCGCATGCCGCGGACAAGATTCAGTATCGGAAGGCCAGAGGCTGTTTCACGATCTTGTTTTTGATGTCCAGCTGGACGGCAACGTCCATAAAATGATTATCTTCACACCTGCATACCCGGCATATACTCCCATGCACCCTAACAGATCTAACAGTCCTAACATCTGTGGCGTAGAGGTCATGAATTTGCCAGACGTCTGGAGCACCGAAGAGGAAGAGGCCTGCCCAGGGCTTACCGAAGAAGACGCAGGATCTCAAGTTGTATCGGATAGGTCGTCATCGTCCGTCGTCGTCGTACTCGTAATCTTAGTGCATCAGCAGTAGTAGCAGTAGTAGTAGTAGTAGTAGTAGTAGTAGTAGTAGTAGTAGTAGTAGTAGTAGTAGTAGTACTAGTAGTAGTAGTAGCAGTAGCAGTAGTAGTAGTAGTAGTAGTAGTAGTAGTAGTAGTAGTAGTAGCAGCAGCAGAAGCAGGAGTAGTAGTAGTAGTAGTAGTAGTAGTAGTAGTAGTAGTAGTAGTAGTAGCAGTAGTAGTAGTAGTAGTAGTAGTAGTAGTAGTAGTAGTAGTAGTAGTAGTAGTAGTAGTAGTAGTAGTAGTAGTAGTAGTAGTAGTAGTAGTAGTAGCAGCAGAAGCAGGAGTAGTAGTAGTAGTAGTAGTAGTAGTAGTAGTAGTAGCAGCAGCAGCAGTGTTACTGTTACGACGACGACGACGACTGCTGTTATTAATTATGTATAACAAATGGTAACAATAATTGTCATGATAGTAATCAAATTGACGGTCGTACCAAAACAAACAGTAACAACAAGAATTCTAAGGTCGATGCTCATATAACGGTTATCATAATGCTTAGACTCACAATTACAAAAACACTATAACAAGAACTATGGGCCTCGTCTTGCTTCATCTTCTGCGGCTCATCCCTTGAACTCAGGGTGCTCAGAAGTTGCTTGAGATTCGCCGGAGCTCCGACCGATGCGTGGGCTTCGCAAGATATGGCCCGACACCATGTCTATAGGGTTTAGGGTCTACTTGGAGGGTCGGGGGACTTAGTAACTGGTTATTTTAGGAACCACAACCCCAATCGGCCGAAACATATATAGTTCCTCAGTCTCCTTTCTGTAAGGATGCTTAGCCCTGCACCGTACCATGGCTAAAACATGTCCCTGAGCGGTCCTGATTATGAGTCATAGGCGTTAGCGTTTTCGAGCCGGGCAAACGAAGGGGAGACTTGTCGTCTTGTGGTCTTGACACTTGAAGCACTTTCGAAACAGTTGCCAAAGTCCGGCACCCGCACGCAACAACATTAATTATGTGTGTTTGGGCCTTTGGGGGATAATCAGCTCTCACCGGAACAGGTGAAACACTTCATGACCTACTGCGACACGATGACCAGCGGTTTGGACCGAGTCCTCTTTGTGCACTCGACCGGGCATGAGGCGGGAGTGCGACATGCTGCTTGCTTTGGGACATGTTGCCATAGACTCTGAACTTCTGAACCCGAAACCTTCAAAACCTCAAGCCGCAAACCGCACCGCCGTAATTCCGTCAATATTGCTACCGTCGTCCGTACTATGTGCATGGATAGCCTTGCGAATACGGCTGCTGCTTCTCCTTCGTATACTTATGATATATGCCAGCCTCCCAGTCATCTCAAGGGATGTGGGATTTCCTGAAAGAGGGGACCCAAACCCTTGTATAGTGCCCTAAATTGTAGGATCCTTACTGTAAGGACCCTAAAGATTTTTGCGGTCCTTATAATAAGGATCCTACTATTTAGGGCACTATACTAGGCTTAGGAAATAAGTTCCTAGGATGCCCAGTAGTACCCTTGTTCCCTTTTTGTAGTCCTAGGTTCCTTATAAAATTACGCAATACCAAAAAGAGAGGCCTTTTTATTCTTAGGTTACTGGGTATCCTAGTAAAAGGGATCCGTAAGGGTTCCTTAAAGGGATCTATGAGGGTTCTAAAAAGGGTTTAGGGTGTGGGAGTTTCCGAAATTTGGGTTCGGCAACTCCCATGCCTTTTCTGGAGATGGAGGCCCCTAGACCTCGGCGGCAGACAAAGAACACTTCAACCATAACGTAAGGAAAGGGATCTATAGGGATTCTATAAGGGTATAGGGTTGAGGGTTTAGAGTACTTGGAGGGGCAGGGGACTTAGTAAGTAGGTTATAAGTAGAGTTATAAGTACTCTAAATGGAGTTACCCCAATTATAACCCTAGTTATAACCTACTTACTAAGTCCCCTGCCCTTCCAAGTAGGAACCAGTGTTGGGTGTTGGGTTCCTTTAAGGGGGGATGATATAAGGGTTCCTGCACAGGGATCTATAAGGGCACCATAAGGGTGTACGGTTTAGGGGCTAACGTAGGAAAGGCATAAGAAAAAAGCCTTTGGTAGGGTTCTTCATATGGATCCGGTTTTGGGGCGATATATTATTATGATCTGTGCTTCAGGATACTGCTCGGGCTCCAGAGTCAGGATTGAACGTCTGGGATTCGGCGCTCTTGGTTTAGGTCTTAGTGTTTGGGGTGCCTGGGCACTTCAGCAAAGCAGGGCTTGAACTAGCTGTCCCTGGCGCTCCATGTACCTAAATGACGGGTTGTTACCCTTACATGATGTAACTCTGTAACCCCTCAACCCTAAACCCCTAAACCCTATAGTAAACCCCTATAAAGCACTATTTAGGTACCTTGAGCCCTAGAGTCTTGGATCCAATACGAAGAGAAACGCATGTAAACCAAGCTCCCAACACCTCTGAAAGATTGAATCAGTACTTCGGGAGGTCTTCGAGATCGGCTAAGCGCCCAGGCGGGGCGCTTTTGCTCAGAGCTGCGGCGATGTTGCTTCCCAGGCATTTGTTTGATTTGCACTGGCAGCCGCAATATCTGAAGCACAACCCTAAGACCCAGCTGTAAGCAAGTTGAGGGGCTTGCATCCCTCAAAGAGATTTCTGTAAAGCGTGCAGGACATGCTGTGCCGCGAATACCCACGGATGCTGGTCTCACAAAATGCTGTTTCGCGGCATCCGATCCAATCTGGTGCTCAGACAGAGCCTAGTTGTATGTGTGGTTAGTTTCAAGAGCCTTGTTTCTAACCCTGTTTTGTCGCGTCATGTGTTGGCGTTACGCAACCCGCAGAAGATACCATGTATTGCTTTGTCTTCCAAAGCATGGCTTTGACAAGTATGCCTGTGGCGGTGGGAAGCCCCACGTGCAAGTCCTGTCCACTGTGCGCACCTTGATAACAGAAACTCTCAGAAAAGCGGGCAGCAACCGCCAAACCTAATGCATAAAACTTGGACTCAGTTAACCTATAACCCTGAACCCTAAACCCGAATCCTGAAGTTTAAATCCTAAACCCTGAACCTACATACCGAGCACTCAGCCCTATGCCTAGAGCATTCGGGGCTCAGGTTTTTGACACCAAAGGCGGTACGCATAGTCTGCCCTCGTGTTCGCAGCGCAGAGGCCGCATCACCCTGATCCCGATTCTCTTTTCCTGGTCACCTCAACACAACCCTAAACCCTGAAACAAACCTGGACCCTAGACCCCTAAACCCTAAACTAAACCAAGACAGGGCTAACACGCTTTTCCAAACTTTTTGCTCTTTGCCCGGCTGGGTCCTCTTGACCGTGGTGTAGACTGGCACAGCAACTAAGGCCATAAATGCCTAAACCCCGAAACCCTAATGCCCTAAAACCCTAAGACCCTATAAGGCCCTACACCTCGATGCCCTGTATCTTTAGAACTGAAGGTTCAAGGATGTCTCGGGGAGATCTAGCTCTTCACCGACGGGTGCTTAGGACCATGTTCCATCTTGCTCTTGTCATAGTAGCAACTGTCATGCTGGTGCTGTGGCTGGCTAAAGGGCTAAAGGGTGTGGCGTAGAGTTTCAGCATCCAGAGCACCTGCACCATGCACCACCTATACGACTCAATTGACTCAATGTTCAGCTGAAAGTTGCAGGATGCAGTGTGGGAGGTTGCTGTGTACTTTCAGAACTTTCAGGGTCGCGGTTATGCGCAGTGAAGCTGGCTGAGGAGGGAAGTTCATCCACAAAAGAAGTAGGCCCAACATCCTAAACCCTAAACCCTCGGCTCTTGAGTGGTGTGGCATGGGGTCTTAGAGGCCAAGAGCCCCAGCGGTAGGTTTTAGGGCGACAACCTGGAAATCAGGAATCCCGGGAAAGAGGACGAGTTAAGCCGAGGCTTTGGAGAGAAAGCGACTCCGTTTCTTTTTGACGGAATGCTTGTTGCCGAAGGCTTCCAGCTCGTCGGGTGAGCTTGCTTTCAGCATCCTGTTGCCAAGCAGCAGGGCGACTGTGTGGTTTGGGGTCAAGGTGCAACAGCTTGCCTTCTGCAAATCCAGACTGCGAAGGCGCAGACCTTTGTCTACTCCCATCTACTCCCTTGAACCTGGACTCTGCCAACTTCCGGTGGGTTCCCTACTTGTTTCCCGAGAGTGAAGCAGGTTCGACCGGCCACGTCCGAGGAACGATCGAATGGATCGCCTCGCTTAGTTGGCCGGGTGTTCGAAGCGCCGGGTCGCAGCTGTGGGAGGCGTGGAAAGGGCTAGCAGACAGAGAAATCTATGAGCTTGATCATCGAGTTTGGACTTGGTGCTCGGGACTTCTGAACGGAACTGCGGGATGCAGGTGTACAGGTTGCGTTCGGATCCGCATCGGCGATTTCTGTTGCTACCGGTATACCTATGCGCACCATCTGATCGCATTGTTTATGCTACTGTCCACCTGCTGCTGCTCCGCTTTCTCCTCCCATTCTTATTCCTGTTCCTCCTACTCCTCGTCCTCTTCTGTGGTTGCTGTTGCTGCTCATGCTTTTGCTACCGCGGCGAACAGCTACTGCGACGACGATGACATATAGCAATATGGCAGGTAGCTATATAGTACCGCAGAGGCCCGTGCGACAAAGTCTTTCGCATGAAAAAGCGGGTTGTGGCCACAAAGTGTTGTGTGCTTGCGCCCGCTCGTATTTGTACAAGTACGCATGTTGCTTTGTGTGTGTGTGTGTGTGTGTGTGTGTGTGTGTGTGTGTGTGTGTGTGTGTGTGTGTGTGTGTGTGTGTGTGTGTGTGTGTGTGTGTGTGTGTGTGTGTGTGTGTGTGTGTGTGTGTGTGTGTGTGTGTGTGTGTGTGTGTGTGTGTGTGTGTGCGTTGCGTGTGCGTGTGCGTGTGCGTGGGCGTGGGTGTGCGGTGCGTGTGTGTGTGTGGAGGGGGGGGTGTGTGGGGGTGGGGTGGGTGGGGTGGGGTGGGTGTGGGTGTGGGTGTGTGGTGTGGGGTGTGGGTGTGGGTGTGGGTGTGGGGTGTGGGTGTGGGTGTGGGTGGGTGTGGGTGTGGGTGTGGGTGTGGGTGGGTGTGGGTGTGGGTGGGTGTGGGTGTGGGTGTGGGTGTGGGTGTGGGTGTGGGTGTGGGTGTGGGTGTGGGTGTGGGTGTGGGTGTGGGTGTGGGTGTGGGTGTGGGTGTGGGGTGGGTGTGGGTGGGCGTGGGCGTGGGCGTGGGCGTGGGCGTGGGTGTGGGCGTGGGCGTGGGCGTGGGTGTGGGCGTGGGCGTGGGCGTGGGGGGCGGGGGGTGGGGGCGGGGGCGGGGCGGGGGTGGGGGCAGGGCGAAGGGTGAAATTTGGGGGTGGGGGGGGGTGGGTGGGGTGGCTGGTGTGTCTCTGTCTCTGTGTGTGTGTGTGTGTGCGCGCGATTGCCCCTACCACCACCGGTAGCACTACGACACCACCACGACGACGACTACTGCTTCTACCGCGGACAACAGCAACAACGAATACGACTACTTCTAAACTTGCCACTAAGATTGATTAAGATGTTGAGCATTGACTCAGCAGTTACAACGACAAGAAGGAGAACGAGGACAACGTTTCTGCCAACCACCACGGCATGGATGCACACCACTGCTACCGGCACTCTGTTCAAGCATGTGTCTCAGCCTCTCTTTCATGTTCTAAGTTTGGCATGTACTGGATGCGTCTTGTTAGACATGTGTATACCGACGGGGGTACGGGCTCTTGCAGTCGTTTTTGATTTCTGCGGCCTGCCCTTGCGGCAAACCGGCTACCTTCGCCTTTGCCAGCTCTCAGGGCCTCGAGGTGTTGCCTCGGTGGGGCCTTGGGGAAAATGATTTCAATTTCAGATTCAGAAGGCTGTTGGTTTACCCATAGGCCCCAAAGTAGTTGCTTTTTGGGATTACCTTATAGGAATCTAGATATGAAGCCCAAAAAGGAACCAATTTGGGGCCGTAGGGTAGAGTCCATTCGTGTATTTCGGTCAGATTCAGACAGCTTCTAGGCTCTGCTCCTGCAGGTACCTACAGAAGGGCAGGTAGAAGGAGAAAAAACGACCTGGTTCGGGAGAGTTCGTGGTCTCTTCAAGCATCAAGAATTGACGGTAAAGCTTCTGAGTTACACGTTGGTTTCGGAGTTTCGGTTTGCGTCAACCTAAAAACAATAACTAGTCTACTATAGAAGCCGGAATATTTACAAAGATTATACGTTTGGGTTCCTGACTACTGATGTAGCGATTATACCCCCAAACCTATTCTAAAGGCTATTAATGCCCCACCTCTTCAGCGCAGTTGCAGTGTCCAGCAGCAGTCAGGGGCACTGTGCGCCGCTTCGGGTCGGAGCGCTATTCGTTCTCCCGAAGTCAGTCGTTTCTTCGGTTGACAATCTGAAATTTAACCGTCTATAGGTTCTCCCGTATCAGTGAACCGCGCGTGTTCTTCCGTCAGGTTCTGGACTTAGACCAAGAGCCCCGTCAAATTATGACTTAGGGTAAGGCCGTCTACTGGATTTCTTTATCTTGGACCATCACCTTCTGAATCTTTCTATGCCGTGACCTGGAGTCACACTGCGCGCCCCAGGCAGCAATCAAGCGCTGTATTCAGGAAGCCATACTGTGATGGAGCGTACATGCAAAGGTTCAGGGCCGTGTAGAAATTTACTTGAGCATATTAAATGCCCTCGGGGGCATCTCTATGTTGGATTTTAAGACTCATGCAGCTGAAGTTGTTGCCGAGTAGCTTAGGATAGGTCCGTGTTGAAGAGTGCTGCTTCTAGAGTTTAAAGGAACTGAGTATGGGTATTGGAACTCCGTCAGGAATTCTTTGGGCTGGCACCAGTACTCCAACCTAGCTGCAACCGCGGTTGGCGGCAGCAGATTGCGGTTGTTGACTGGAGGCTGCGGGCATCCGTAGAAAAGCAACATGCCTCCAATGCAGGCCTGACATTTTCAATGTTGCTGAATATGGCTTCATGCACGGGACCCTCGCCCCACTGGCCACCACCATCGCTCGTCGTCGTCGTAGTAGCAGTACCGCACGTACCACCGAAGACGTAATAAACTGCAATGGCTACAATTGCTGCAGCAGCGATTGGTTTTCACAGCTAGAACTAGTAAGATGATGATATTGGCAAGGCCTGCCCGTAAAAGTACACGTTCTGATACCAGGGATATTTCAAGTGCTTTTGGCATGACCATAGCCTTAGGAAGGGCAGGAGTCATACTGCGGATGGACAAAATCCTGCATGACCCAATACAAGGAATATACCATAATTCCTAGGGTCTTCAAAGTCACCCTAAACCCTAAACCCAATACAAGGAATTTTCCATAATTCCTAGGGTCCTTAAAGTCATGCAGGATTTTGTCCATCAGCAGTATCATGACTTGGGCCCGACGCAAATAAAAGCAGCATCCTCCCTGGACGCCCGAAGTACTGTACTAGGATACCCAGTATTGCCCTTGTTCCCTTTTTGTAGTCCTAGGTTCCTTATAAAGTTGC